CGCACCTCACTCCTCCGAGTTCCCTCCGACGGAGGCTCCCCTGCAGACTCTGCACATGGACGTGTGGGGCCCAGCCTGCGTCCGTGGCCAGGGTCACGAGCGCTACTTTCTGCTGGTCGTTGACGACTACTCGCGTTACACCACAGTCTTCCCCTTGCGTCGCAAGGGTGAGGTCACTGAGGTGCTGATCGACTGGATCCGCGCTGCTCGTCGTCAGCTCCGAGAGAGTTTTGGCTCGGACCTTCCTGTCCTGCGTCTGCACTCCGACAGAGGTGGAGAGTTTTCCTCCGACCTTCTGCGAGCCTTCTGTCGTGCGGAGGGCATCCGCCAGACGTTCACGCTTCCGGCCTCTCCACAGCAAAATGGGATTGTTGAGCGCCGCATTGGCATGGTTATGGACGTCGCTCGTACGTCCATGATCCATGCGGCTGCTCCCCATTTTCTGTGGCCGTTCGCGGTTCAGTACGCTGCGCATCAGATCAACCTCCAGCCCCGGGTCTCTGTGCCGGAGACCACACCTACTCTGCAGTGGACGGGGAAGGTTGGCGATGCGTCTGCGTTCCGAGTCTGGGGATCTCGAGCTTTCGTCCGCGACTTGTCTGCGGACAAGTTGTCCTCCCGTGATGTTCCCTGCGTCTTCCTTGGCTCCCCCCCTGACGCGCCTGGCTGGCAGTTTTACCACCCCACCTCGCGCCATGTTCTGTCCTCTCAGGACGTCACGTTTGACGAGTCGGTTCCCTACTACCGTCTCTTCCCCTACCGCACTGCCTCCCTCCCCCCCCCCCGCCCCTCTTCCTCGCGCCAGGTCCTCCCCCGGTAGACCCCCTCCCCCCTCAGGGTCCTGCCCCCTCAGGTGTGTCCCAGGTAGATGCAGTCGAGCCCGTCAAGGTAGCTGTTGACTCTCGTGCTGCTAGGGGTGCTGAGCCTGCGGGTGCCGGGTCTGGGGGTGCTGAGCCTGGGGGTGCTGAGTCTGGGGGTGCTGAGCCTGGGGGTGCTGCGTCTGGGGGTGCTGCGTCTACGGGTGCTGCGCCTGGAGGTGCTGCGTCTGGGGGTGCTGAGCCTGAGGGTGTTGGGCCTGCGCGTGCGGAGTCTGGAGGTGCTGCGCCTGGTGGTTCTTCGGGTGTTTTGTCCCGGCGGGAGCCACTCTCTCCACGGCAGTTGCGCGAGTGGTTTGCTTGCCGCTGGAGCCGTACTGCTGGAGCTGGTGGTGCTACGGGCGCTAGAGGTCCTGCTTCTACTGGAGCTGCTGAGGGTTCTGGAGCCACTAGTCCCGGAGGTGCTCGTACTGGAGGTACTGGAGCTGCTGGGCCTGGGGGTGCTGCTGGTGCTGGTGCTGCTGGGGGGACTGGAGCTGGCGCTACTGGAGCTACTGAGGCTTCTGGTGGCCCTGCTGGCGCTGGAGCTGCTGGCCGTACTTGAGCTGCTGGAGGTACAAGAGCTGCTGGAGGTGCTGCTGGAGCCGGTGCTTCTGGGGGTGCTGGAGTTGGTGCTGCTGGAGCTGCTGGAGGTCCTGGTGGAGCTGGTGGTGCTGCTGGAGATGGCGCTGACACTGGGGGTGCTGGTGCTGTCCCTGCTGGTTCTGGAGGCGCTGCGCGGCCGCGGCCGTACTTCGTTCCGCTCCTTCAGCAGGTTCTTGGTCTCCCGCCTTCTACTGGTCATGCTCCTTCCTTAGAGTGTTCACCGCCTGTCCAGTCGCAGTTACAGTTACAGCCTGCCTCCCCACTGCCTGCTCCCTCTCCTTACACTGGTCCTACCGGGGGTCTGAGTCTCGTCCTGCGTCACCTGTTCGTGTTGCTCGCACTGGTCGTCGTGTTCCGCGTCAGCGTCCTCCTGCTGTCCCAGGCACGCACCAGATGGCACTGCGTCCTTCCACTGCTCCGCAGCGTGTCCCTCTGCCGTCTCCTCCTGCGTCCTCTTGCTGACCCGGAGTCTGACTCCCTTCGTGCTGCCAGTCCTACTGTCACGCGTCTCCTGGCCACTGTAGTCACTGACCCTTCCTTTGAGTCCACTGCTGCGTCTGCCTTAGTTGCTGAGCTTGTCGACTTCGCTGCTCACTGTCGTCTAGACTACGCCGCTAGTCTTGTTGCTGAGTCTGAGTCTGTCTGTCCTCCGTCCGTCGGGGGTGAGTGTGCCCTTAGCACGGACGTCCTTGAGGACAGGCAGGAGGAGTTCCAGTGTTTTGCTGCTGCTTTACCTCATCTCGTGTCCATGCTGCTTGCCCCTGAGGGAGACCCGGATGCACCAGACATCCCGACCCCGCGCTCTTACGCAGAGGCGATAGAGGGTCCCTACTCCTCTCAATGGCAGTCAGCCATGGACGCAGAGATGGCTTCCTGGAAGTCCACAGGCACCTACGTCGACGAGGTTCCCCCACCTGGGGCGAACATCGTCAGTGGCATGTGGATTTTCAGGGTGAAGCGGCCGCCGGGTTCTCCGCCTGTCTTCAAGGCGCGTTACGTGGCTCGAGGCTTCAGTCAGCGGCAGGGAGTTGACTACTTTCAGACCTTCTCTCCCACCCCGAAGATGACCACTCTTCGGGTGCTCCTGCACATAGCCGCTCAGCGCGACTACGAGCTTCACTCTCTTGACTTCAGCACTGCTTTCCTACAGGGCAGCCTGCACGAGGAGATCTGGCTGCGCCGCCCACCTGGCTTCACTGGGTCGTTTCCTCCTGGTACCCAATGGAGCCTCCGGCGGCCAGTCTACGGTCTCCGCCAGGCGCCCCGTGAGTGGCACGACACACTGAGGACTACGCTTGCGGCCCTTGGGTTTGCTCCTTCCACTGCTGACCCGTCGCTGTTTCTACACACCGACACCTCTTTGCCGCCGTTCTACATCCTCGTGTACGTCGACGACTTGGTCTTTGCTACTGCTGACACTACTGGACTCGCCCACGTGAAGTCGGAGCTGCAGAAGAGACACACGTGCACAGACCTGGGTGAACTGCGCAGCTATCTTGGCTTGCAGATCACCCGGGACAGAGCACGGCGCACCATTACCTTGACTCAGTCACACATGGTGCAGCAGGTCCTTCAGCGCTTCAACTTCACGTACTCCTCGCCTCAGGCCACTCCTCTGTCTACTCGCCACTCGCTCTCAGCTCTGCCTTCGGATGAGTCCGTAGAGCCGAGTGGCCCGTATGCAGAGCTTGTGGGCTGTCTCATGTACATGATGACCTGCACTCGACCTGACCTTGCATACCCTCTTAGCATCCTCGCACGCTATGTTGCTCCTGGGAGACACCGACCAGAGCACATGGATGCAGCTAAGAGGGTGTTGCGCTACTTGTGCAGTACGTCGGGCATGGGGCTCGTGCTTGGAGGGCGGAGTCCAGTGGTCCTCACTGGTCACGCAGACGCGTCTTGGGTTGACGACTTGGCTACGCAGCGGTCGTCACAGGGTTACACCTTCAGCCTTGGTTCCGGCTCTGTTTCGTGGCGGTCTACCCGCTCGTCTTCTGTTCTCAGCTCCAGCTGTGAGGCTGAGATCTACGCAGGGGCCATGGCTGCACAGGAGTTACGCTGGCTCACCTACCTGCTGACTGACCTGGGAGAGCCGCCTCGTTCTCCTCCAGTTCTGTACGTAGACAACAAGGCCATGCTGGCCTTGTGTCGGGAGCACAGACTGGAGCACAGAACGAAGCACATTGCTCTTCGCTACTTCCTTGCTCGTGAGCTGCAGCAGCGTGGTCAGCTGCGCCTTGCTTATGTGGCCTCTCGGGCCAACACTGCTGATATCTTCACCAAGGCACTTCAGCCTTGTGATCATCAGCGCTTCTGTACTATGTTAGGTCTCGTACCTACCTGGCCTCACTTGCTTACCTCTTGACTTTGCTTTGTACTGTGATCTATATATACCTGCACCTGCATGTTTGCCCTTGCTAGGTTGCGATCACTATCGTGCTTGTTCACCTTTATATATAATCCTGCATGTGAACTGGCCTTGTGGCCTTTGAACTTGTGCTTGGAATGTGTGGTGACGTTGTGATCCACCCTGAGCTTGCTTTGCTTTGCTTGAGTGGTCTTGTGACCCCTTATTCTCCCCCACTTTGCCTATGGGGGTGTGTCAAACATTTATCATATAGCCTGTCTAGGCTGTAGTGGGGTAGACACTATGGGGTACAGTTTCCTTGGGTTTCATATTTGTACCCAACTCATTTCCTAGTCAATCATTCCACTCAGTTTCTTCACAGGGTGAACTAGGAAAGTAGCTCTGATACCAGGTGTTATGGGTTGTAAAAGAGAGTGCGCATGTAAACGAATAACGAGACTGTGATTAACTGATCTGAGAATACAATGAAGGCACAGACTAATGTAGGGACTAGCCTAGCTAGGAGGGAACCTCGGACGAGCAAGGTTGGGTGCAGGTTTGGCGATTGGGAAATGCCGAAGGCGACGCGAGGAGCCTCGGCAGCGTTGAAATCGGCCGAACGTGCGAAGTCCGAAAATCGGGCTGTACGCGAAGCAGTCAACCCCGATAAGGAATTCGGAAAAATTCCTTACACTACCACACCACCATGTGACGTCGCGACGTCTCCACGACAATCAACAAACAATCCCCCCTACATCAGCTGAACTCGTCATGTGGAGACGCCGCAATCTGATTGCGAGCCCGTGGGAGGGAGGAAGCAAACACCACAACCGTCAATCTTCCGCTGTTCTTCCCTCGATCCTGCTGAGTCCTCAAGATTCCACTGCCGCCGCGCATGGGCATTGAGCAGCCCTTGGGCAGCTTATGTATAAGTTGATGGCATCCATTCCCTTATCTTCAATTAAGGGGTCTGAATTTCCTTGACCATTGCTTCTATAACTCACACCATCCAGTACCTAAGCTCCTTCGAATTCGCTGCGAATCCTCTCCGCAGCCAAACGAACTCATTCCCCGTCGATCCTCACTCTACGCACTCGGGACATCGCTCCACCCGATCCACCCGTTCCTCGTCTCCTCCCCTCGCCCTACCGCTCTATTCCGCCGCCTCCCACGCTTTCCGCACAGCCACGATGGCCGCGACTCGTCTGCTCCCCTTTCTCCACCTGCTCCTCGTCTCCAAGGCCGTCCTCTCGTCAGCCGCACCCCGTCTGCCAAAACGAGTCTCTCTGACCGTTCAAGCCCACGCGCAGCGCCTTCGATCGCGAGCCGCGGCTCTGAGCTCGAACTCCCAGGGCCTCTTCAGTGAGCTCCGAGGCGCCGCAACCCCCGCCGCGACCGGCGGGCCCATTAAGTACAATGGAGGTCCCGTCGTCGTCGGAAACCCGACGGTGAACATCTACCATATCTACTACGGCAGCTGGCCGTCGGGGTCCGGGCAGGGCTACATCGACAACTTCGTTCGCAGCGACTCGGGCGCGCAGGGCTCGTCGAGCGACCCGACGGTAAAGGGGTGGTGGGCGATCACGTCGAACTACTATTAGTCGAGCAGCGGGGCAAAGAAGAACGTGAGCTCCAAGGTGCAGCTCGCGGGGACGACGTACGACAACTACTCGAACGGCAAAGCGCTCACCGACAAATATGTGCTCTCCAGTAAGCCCTTTCTCCCCGACCTTGCTCATGCGCCGCTCAGAAAGTCGTGCTTTTTATAAAGGGTTCGTTGTTTGATGCCTGCCACGTAGTGCTTCACGGGAAAGTGAGCGGGGGGGGGGGGGAGGGGGAGGGGCGCATTCCATTAGTGTTAGCACAAATTCTTCCCTCTCTGGATTCCGTCTTCCCCGGATTTCTTGTCCCCTTTTGAATGCTGTACACCGCCCGTATTGCTTCCTACTTTGTGCTTTCACCAGCTGGCATAGACTCAACTTTCTTCATGCATTTTCTGCCGTCTCCATCGCAGTTGTGAAGAGCAAGATAGGATCTGGCAAGGCCTTCGCGTACGACACGCACGGGATTTACGTGCTTCTATCGAGCAAGGACGTGACTCTATCGTCGGACTTCTGCAGCCACTACTGCGGGTGGCACAATGCGGCCCACATCGGATCATCCCCATTATACTACGCGTTCGTGGGTCACCACGCCCAGTGCCCCAACGCGTGCGGCGTAAAGAGCACCTCCCCCAATGGCAACCCCGCTATAGACGCCACCATTTCAACTCTCGAGCACGAAATTACTGAAGCTGCTACGGACCCAGATGCTAAGTCTGGCTGGTTCGACGCGGGTGGGGAGGAGAATGCGGATCTGTGCTCTTGGAATTACGGAAATACGCTCAGTGCAAACGGTTACAGCTATAACATGGTTGGACTGAACGGAATGAGATTCCTGGTGCAGCAGAACTGGGAAAGGCAGCTGCAGAAGTGTGTCACCCAGAATTCCCTTCCAGCCACACCTTCACCGCCGCCACCCCCTGGAACTGGTACCAAGATGAACTGCCAGTGCACGTGTGCTAGTGGCAGCTCTCCTATCAACTGCCAGTGCTCCTGCACGCCCGTTGCATGAAGGGCCGACGTTTTGGGGGTACATTCCTGGCGCACGCCACAAATCCTCGGGTCAAAAAGATGCGATACAACGTGGTGCAAATAATCCGCTGGTTTCTATACAGGTTTCAATAGTTATATGCACATTTCTCCCTAGTGTGGTGCGCTCGTCGATTTTGAATGTTATACAGTGTTAATAGGATCGTCGTATATTGCGAACGTTGCAGCGTCCACCGCTTCACATTCCCCAATCAATAAGGGCGTGTCCAGCGCGTACATTTACAGTTCATAAACCCATTCAGTTACCACATTTCCTATTGTAACACTGCATTTTACAAAAAGGTTGGACACGATCAGCTTCCGTTCACAAGACGGCACGCCCGCTGCGCGTACGACGAATCGTCTAACACACGTTACTGGAATCAGTGTGCGCGCGAACAAGGGTACAGCATTGCGTCCTGCCCGCTACAGTAATTTTCGTTCAAGCGTGGAATTTTCGCTTGTGCGTGAATTTCTGTGCGATGATAGACGAGGCAACCAGTTACCTCGTTTTCCACGAACTGTAGAAATTTGTGTGCAGAGGGTTGTGTCCGCGCGCTGGAAGGCCCGATCCTTCGGACTCGACTCACCTTATATTCGTTTTTTGGTACAGTGAGATTTTTTGAGCCGGGAAACGTGTGAAGGTACTAATATTCCCCAAATGTACGCGCTGGACACGCCCTAACCGCATGCGCATCGCATCATTCTGTAGCAGCAGCGATCCAGCCACATTCAACAGCTTCGTGGATCTCCCGCTGCTAGGAATCTCGTCCTCGTCGCGCCGCATCGGCAATTGGCATCTCGGCGCTTCGTTGTGGAGCCCTTCTCTCCCCCGTGTTTGGTAGATATAACCACCTCCTTTCTTAGCATCGCCATTCTCAGCATCGGTATCCGTGACTCGCGTGCGCCAGCAGCATGGATTCCAGACTCGCGCTCTTCGCGCTTCTCCTCGCCGCCGTCCTTGTCTCAGGTGACCTCTTACTACCTTCACCTACCCGCCGCGCCTTCTCAAGCTCACCTATCTGCGCCCCCATCCCTCTCGTTCTCTGTGCGCCCATCCCTCTCGTTCTCTGCGCGCCCATCCCTCTCGTTCTCTGCGCGCACCCGCCTTCCGTTCTCTGCGCGAGCGTCCTTCTCCGCGTCTGAGTGCGCGTCGCTCATTGTCTGTGTGCGAGCGTGCGTGGCAGCGAGCGGCAAGGTGGAGAAGGACGTCAAGCAGCTGCAGATCGGCGTCAAGGTGAGCGCCCCGCCCTCTTGCCCTTACCTTAACGGCCTCCCGTTCTGCGTTGCAACCATCCATCTGCATGCGCTTTCTCCCGTCTTCTCCTTCTCTTTCTCTTTCACTACGCTCCACTCACTCCCCTCCCCTTCCCGTCTTTCCCCCTAACCCCTATGCGCCCATCGCATGCTGCGCTCCCTCGTGTGCTGTGCGCGCCTTGCCCTTTGCGCGCCTTGCCCCATGTCCCCCTCGCGCAGTTCAAGCCGGAGACCTGCAGCACCAAGGCGCGCAACCTCGACACTGTCAGGGTTCACTACAAGGTATCCTCGATACAGTCACGATTCACTACAAGGTATCCTCGATGCAGTCACGATTTACTACAAGGTATCCTCAATACAGTCACGATTCGCTACAAGGTATTATCGATGTAAGGGGTTGGGAGGTCCAAGGCACCCCATGGATGGATCCTAGTACTCTGCACGTCCTGCCACCTCGCTTCCCTGCTTCCCTCCTCTTCCCAAATCCCCGCTCCACCGCTCTCAGCACCCCCGCCCTGCCTCACCATGCTTCCCTCTTGGATCCCACTCATCCCGCCGCCCCTGCCTGCGCCCCCCTCCCCCCCACCCCCCAGGGCATGCTGGTGGACGGCAGCGTGTTTGACTCGAGCTACGAGCGCGGCGACCCGCTGCAGTTCCGCCTGGGGCAGGGCAACGTGATCAAGGGTGGGTGGGGGGGACAGGGCAACGTGATCAAGGGTGGGTGGGGGGCAGGGCAACGTGATCAAGGGTGGGTGAAAGCCCTCCTTGGCACGAGATAAAGGAAACTTCCAACTGCTGTTGAGCGTGCTTCTCTGTGCACTGCTACCCCTCGTGCGCCCCACCTTGCCTGCGTGCGTGCGTGTCCCTATCCGCCCCTTAGTTCAACGCCACCATGCCCACACGCTAGGATGATCCCACCACAGCGTGGAAGGGGAGCTTGTGCACGCCCAAGCCCAACATCCCTCCCTCCACTCTGCATGTACCCCTGCCCTCGCCTCTCCCACGCACTGACCTCCTGCTATATTTTCCTCCCCCTCCTTCCCCCCCACTTCCCATGGACCCGCGGAGCAGGGTGGGACATAGGCATTCTGGGCATGTGTGTGGGCGAGAAGCGCAAGCTCAAGATCCCCGCGCACATGGGGTACGGCGAGTCAGGCTCGCCACCCAAGATTCCCGGTATGCTCATGGTTTAGTTACCCCCCCCCTGGCCACTCCCCACTCCCCCTCTGGCCGCTCCCCGTCCCGCCACTTCCCCTCATGCCATGCCACTCCCCCTCTTCCCACTGCCCCTGTCTGCACGCGCTGCTCGCCATGCCGCTCCTCCTCCATGGCTCCCATCACGTCCCCCACACTCCACACTGCCCCTGTGCCCTCTCCCTCCTCGCGTCTGTGCTGCTCTCACAAGGCCATGTCTCACTGCCTCACAGCGTCGCCAATGCACCTGCTGCACCACTTGCTTTTTCTCGTTGCACGCTCGCCTGTTCCTGGTTGGATTGGCTGATGCTTGCATTGCACGGAAAGTGCCATTGCAAGCACACTTTAAACACATGCTGCACAGTAAAAACAAATGCTGCACACTTAAAACACATACTGCACTCCTCTTCCCTCCCTCCCTCCACCGTGCCCTGCTTGCCGCCCCCCTCCCCTCTCTCCTCCCTGCCCGACGTGCCCCATGGCACGCCACACAGGCGGGGCAACACTCATCTTTGAGACGGAGCTGGTGGAGATCGTGGGGGCCAAGCCGGACGACGAGCTCTGAGCGCCTCACCACCTCCCACCCCGCACACGCTATCATGCACACAGCGAGATCGCTGCTGCCGCGTCAGCTGCGCATATTGCAATACTTTTAGGTGGAATGTAACTCCATTGATTTTGGGAGTTGTAACTAGCACTGGAATGTTGTTTACCTTGTGTGCAATGATATTTTTCTTGTCAGTAGCTACAAGTTGCAAGAACCACAGATAGCGAATGTAAAGTTGGCTCACTTTGACCCAAAACATATTAATGGCCACCAACGCATTATGCTGTATTACCAAGCTAGCAACGTTTATACGAAAAGCATGCTCCCTGTACATTGCTGCTCCCTGCATATAGCACAGCGACATCCTGGCAATTGGCCTACTGAGATTTCTTGATCTTGTGCGAGCGAGGCGAAGGAGCGACGCGAGAGAGTGTGTTGAGGAAGGTGTAGACGGAGAAGAGCACAAAGAGCCAGCGGAACCTGCCAGCACAGCCATGGGACAGTGAAGGGGGGATGCGTGCGGGTGATGAGGACGGGTGGGGGCTGTGCCATGCATGGGTGATAAAGGCAGCAGGGAGGAAGATAGAGCAGGTCTCTCAGAGATAGCTTTACGCACCAAACGAACTGGGAGCGATGGGCCCGCATCGCTCGCACGCTGGGCAGCATGTTCGGGCAGATGAAATATATCCTGCTGCCTGCCGTGCTTAGGTATTGTGTGATGAGGAAATGCATCCACATGGCAAGCACCCCCAGGAGCCCAAGAAACTTCACATGCAGCCATGCACTGTTCTGCAGGGTGCACGGAGGTTGGGATGGATTGGAGATGAATGAAGATCAAATGGGGATGGATGGAGGGGATAAAGGAAGGTAAGTAGATGGAAGGGAAGGAAGGATATGGGAGTGGAAGGATGGATATGGGAGTGGAAGGATGGATATGGGAGTGGAAGGATGGATATGGGAGTGGAAGGATGTAGCAGGAAATGGAAGGATGTAGCAGGAAATGGAAGGATGTAGCAGGAAATGGAAGGATGTAGCAGGAAATGGAAGGATGTAGCAGGAAATGGAAGGATGTAGCAGGAAATGGAAGGATGTAGCAGGAAATGGAAGGATGTAGCAGGAAATGGAAGGATGTAGCAGGAAATGGAAGGATGTAGCAGGAAATGGAAGGATGTAGCAGGAAATGGAAGGATGTAGCAGGAAATGGAAGGATGTAGCAGGAAATGGAAGGATGTAGCAGGAAATGGAAGGATGTAGCAGGAAATGGAAGGATGTAGCAGGAAATGGAAGGATGTAGCAGGAAATGGAAGGATGTAGCAGGAAATGGAAGGATGTAGCAGGAAATGGAAGGATGTAGCAGGAAATGGAAGGATGTAGCAGGAAATGGAAGGATGTAGCTTGAAATGGAAAGCGAAATGGAAGTGAAAGGGAGTGAGTGAGAGGGAGTGAGAGGGAGTGAGAGGGCGTGAAAGGGAGTGAGAGGAGGGATGCATGAAAGGAAGGGATGCTTGAAAGGAAGAGATGCTTGAAAGGAAGGGATGCTTGAAAGGAAGAGATGCTTGAAAGGAAGGGATGCTTGAAAGGAAGAGATGCTTGAAAGGAAGGGATGCTTGAAAGGAAGGGATGCTTGAAAGGAAGGGATGCTTGAAAGGAAGGGATGCTTGAAAGGAAGAGATGCTTGAAAGGAAGAGATGCTTGAAAGGAAGAGATGCTTGAAAGGAAGAGATGCTTGAAAGGAAGAGATGCTTGAAAGGAAGGGATGCTTGAAAGGAAGGGATGCTTGAAAGGAAGGGATGCTTGAAAGGAAGAGATGCTTGAAAGGAAGAGATGCTTGAAAGGAAGAGATGCTTGAAAGGAAGAGATGCTTGAAAGGAAGAGATGCTTGAAAGGAAGAGATGCTTGAAAGGAAGAGATGCTTGAAAGGAAGAGATGCTTGAAAGGAAGAGATGCTTGAAAGGAAGAGATGCTTGAAAGGAAGAGATGCTTGAAAGGAAGAGATGCTTGAAAGGAAGAGATGCTTGAAAGGAAGGATGCTTGAAAGGAAGGGATGCTTGAAAGGAAGAGATGCTTGAAAGGAAGAGATGCTTGAAAGGAAGAGATGCTTGAAAGGAAGAGATGCTTGAAAGGAAGAGATGCTTGAAAGGAAGAGATGCTTGAAAGGAAGAGATGCTTGAAAGGAAGAGATGCTTGAAAGGAAGAGATGCTTGAAAGGAAGAGATGCTTGAAAGGAAGAGATGCTTGAAAGGAAGAGATGCTTGAAAGGAAGAGATGCTTGAAAGGAAGAGATGCTTGAAAGGAAGAGATGCTTGAAAGGAAGAGATGCTTGAAAGGAAGAGATGCTTGAAAGGAAGAGATGCTTGAAAGGAAGAGATGCTTGAAAGGAAGAGATGCTTGAAAGGAAGAGATGCTTGAAAGGAAGAGATGCTTGAAAGGAAGAGATGCTTGAAAGGAAGAGATGCTTGAAAGGAAGAGATGCTTGAAAGGAAGAGATGCTTGAAAGGAAGAGATGCTTGAAAGGAAGAGATGCTTGAAAGGAAGAGATGCTTGAAAGGAAGAGATGCTTGAAAGGAAGAGATGCTTGAAAGGAAGAGATGCTTGAAAGGAAGAGATGCTTGAAAGGAAGAGATGCTTGAAAGGAAGAGATGCTTGAAAGGAAGAGATGCTTGAAAGGAAGAGATGCTTGAAAGGAAGAGATGCTTGAAAGGAAGAGATGCTTGAAAGGAAGAGATGCTTGAAAGGAAGAGATGCTTGAAAGGAAGAGATGCTTGAAAGGAAGAGATGCTTGAAAGGAAGAGATGCTTGAAAGGAAGAGATGCTTGAAAGGAAGAGATGCTTGAAAGGAAGAGATGCTTGAAAGGAAGAGATGCTTGAAAGGAAGAGATGCTTGAAAGGAAGAGATGCTTGAAAGGAAGAGATGCTTGAAAGGAAGAGATGCTTGAAAGGAAGAGATGCTTGATAGGAAGAGATGCTTGAAAGGAAGAGATGCTTGAAAGGAAGAGATGCTTGAAAGGAAGAGATGCTTGAAAGGAAGAGATGCTTGAAAGGAAGAGACGCTTGAAAGGAAGAGACGCTTGAAAGGAAGAGACGCTTGAAAGGAAGAGACGCTTGAAAGGAAGAGACGCTTGAAAGGAAGAGACGCTTGAAAGGAAGAGACGCTTGAAAGGAAGAGACGCTTGAAAGGAAGAGACGCTTGAAAGGAAGAGACGCTTGAAAGGAAGAGACGCTTGAAAGGAAGAGACGCTTGAAAGGAAGAGACGCTTGAAAGGAAGAGACGCTTGAAAGGAAGAGACGCTTGAAAGGAAGAGACGCTTGAAAGGAAGAGACGCTTGAAAGGAAGAGACGCTTGAAAGGAAGAGACGCTTGAAAGGAAGAGACGCTTGAAAGGAAGAGACGCTTGAAAGGAAGAGACGCTTGAAAGGAAGAGACGCTTGAAAGGAAGAGACGCTTGAAAGGAAGAGACGCTTGAAAGGAAGAGACGCTTGAAAGGAAGAGACGCTTGAAAGGAAGAGACGCTTGAAAGGAAGAGACGCTTGAAAGGAAGAGACGCTTGAAAGGAAGAGACGCTTGAAAGGAAGAGACGCTTGAAAGGAAGAGACGCTTGAAAGGAAGAGACGCTTGAAAGGAAGAGACGCTTGAAAGGAAGAGACGCTTGAAAGGAAGAGACGCTTGAAAGGAAGAGACGCTTGAAAGGAAGAGACGCTTGAAAGGAAGAGACGCTTGAAAGGAAGAGACGCTTGAAAGGAAGAGACGCTTGAAAGGAAGAGACGCTTGAAAGGAAGAGACGCTTGAAAGGAAGAGACGCTTGAAAGGAAGAGACGCTTGAAAGGAAGAGACGCTTGAAAGGAAGAGACGCTTGAAAGGAAGAGACGCTTGAAAGGAAGAGACGCTTGAAAGGAAGAGACGCTTGAAAGGAAGAGACGCTTGAAAGGAAGAGACGCTTGAAAGGAAGAGACGCTTGAAAGGAAGAGACGCTTGAAAGGAAGAGACGCTTGAAAGGAAGAGACGCTTGAAAGGAAGAGACGCTTGAAAGGAAGAGACGCTTGAAAGGAAGAGACGCTTGAAAGGAAGAGACGCTTGAAAGGAAGAGACGCTTGAAAGGAAGAGACGCTTGAAAGGAAGAGACGCTTGAAAGGAAGAGACGCTTGAAAGGAAGAGACGCTTGAAAGGAAGAGACGCTTGAAAGGAAGAGACGCTTGAAAGGAAGAGACGCTTGAAAGGAAGAGACGCTTGAAAGGAAGAGACGCTTGAAAGGAAGAGACGCTTGAAAGGAAGAGACGCTTGAAAGGAAGAGACGCTTGAAAGGAAGAGACGCTTGAAAGGAAGAGACGCTTGAAAGGAAGAGACGCTTGAAAGGAAGAGACGCTTGAAAGGAAGAGACGCTTGGAGACCATTCGAAATGGAGGGAGCATGAGGGCATGGCAGAGACTGCCTGCCCCCCTCACCAGCTGGCCCACTCACCAGCTGCCGCCCTCACCAGCTGCCCCCCTCACCAGCTGCCCCCCTCACCAGCTGCCCCCCTCACCAGCTGCCCTACTCACCAGCTGCCCCCCTCACCAGCTGCCCCCCTCACCAGCTGCCCCCCTCACCAGCTGCCCTACTCACCAGCTGCCCCCCTCACCAGCTGCCCCCCTCACCAGCTGCCCCCCTCACCAGCTGCCCCCCTCACCAGCTGCCCCAATCACCAGCTGCCCCACTCACCAGCTGCCCCCCTCACCAGCTGCCACACTCACCAGCTGCCCCCCTCACCAGCTGCCCCACTCACCAGCTGCCCCACTCACCAGCTGCCCCACTCACCAGCTGCCCCCCTCACCAGCTGCCCCCCTCACCAGCTGCCCCAATCACCAGCTGCCCCACTCACCAGCTGCCCCCCTCACCAGCTGCCACACTCACCAGCTGCCCCCCTCACCAGCTGCCCCACTCACCAGCTGCCCCCCTCACCAGCTGCCCCACTCACCAGCTGCCCCCCTCACCAGCTGCCCCGCTCACCAGCTGCCCCGCTCACCAGCTGCCCCCCTCACCAGCTGCCCCCCTCACCAGCTGCCCCACTCACCAGCTGCCCCCCTCACCAGCTGCCCCCCTCACCAGCTGCCCCCCTCACCAGCTGCCCCACTCACCAGCTGCCCCACTCACCAGCTGCCCCCCTCACCAGCTGCCCCCCTCACCAGCTGCCCCCCTCACCAGCTGCCCCACTCACCAGCTGCCCCACTCACCAGCTGCCCCACTCACCAGCTGCCCCCCTCACCAGCTGCCCCACTCACCAGCTGCCCCCCTCACCAGCTGCCCCACTCACCAGCTGCCCCCCTCACCAGCTGCCCCACTCACCAGCTGCCCCCCTCACCAGCTGCCCCACTCACCAGCTGCCCCACTCACCAGCTGCCCCACTCACCAGCTGCCCCCCTCACCAGCTGCCCCGCTCACCAGCTGCCCCCCTCACCAGCTGCCCCCCTCACCAGCTGCCCCACTCACCAGCTGCCCCCCTCACCAGCTGCCCCCCTCACCAGCTGCCCCCCTCACCAGCTGCCCCACTCACCAGCTGCCCCACTCACCAGCTGCCCCCCTCACCAGCTGCCCCCCTCACCAGCTTCCCCCCTCACCAGCTGCCCCACTCACCAGCTGCCCCACTCACCAGCTGCCCCACTCACCAGCTGCCCCCCTCACCAGCTGCCCCCCTCACCAGCTGCCCCCCTCACCAGCTGCCCCCCTCACCAGCTGCCCCACTCACCAGCTGCCCCACTCACCAGCTGCCCCCCTCACCAGCTGCCCCCCTCACCAGCTGCCCCCCTCACCAGCTGCCCCACTCACCAGCTGCCCCACTCACCAGCTGCCCCACTCACCAGCTGCCCCCCTCACCAGCTGCCCCACTCATCAGCTGCCCCCCTCACCAGCTGCCCCACTCACCAGCTGCCCCACTCACCAGCTGCCCCACTCACCAGCTGCCCCACTCACCAGCTGCCCCACTCACCAGCTGCCACACGGGGACTGGCAGCGACCCGTTGTCAACCATGGTGCTGGTGAAGCAGATGAGCAGGGGCGTGGGGGCGAGGGGGACAGGGAGGACGGAGATCGAGAAGCACGTGAGGCGACGAAGTTGGCACATGCGAACAGGTGGCAGGGGGACAGGTGGCAGGGGGACAGGTGGCAGGGGGACAGGTGGCAGGGGGACAGGTGGCAGGGGGACAGGTGGCAGGGGACAGCTGGCAGGGGGACAGGTGGCAGGGGGACAGGTGGCAGGGGGACAGGTGGCAGGGGGACAGGTGGCAGGGGGACAGGTGGCAGGGGGACAGGTGGCAGGGGGACAGGTGGCAGGGGGACAGGTGGCAGGGGGACAGGTGGCAGGGGACAGCTGGCAGGGGGACAGGTGGCAGGGGGACAGGTGGCAGGGGGACAGGTGGCAGGGGGACAAGAGGCAGGGGGACAAGTGGCAGGGGGACAGGTGGCAGGGGGACAAGTGGCAGGGGGACAGGTGGCAGGGGGACAGGAGGCAGGGGGACAGGAGGCAGGGGGACAGGAGGCAGGGGGACAGGAGGCAGGGGGACAGGAGGCAGGGGGACAGGAGGCAGGGGGACAGGAGGCAGGGGGACAGGAGGCAGGGGGACAGGAGGCAGGGGGACGCAGTTGCAACACAGACAGTCGGGCCTCACATAACGATGAGCAGCGCAGGGAGTGGTTCAGTGCGGTGCAGCTCCCGGTACGTCGGGGTGCATCTTCAACCCACAACGACTTGAAACAGCTCAAGTTTCTTCTTCACATTCCCCATCCCTTCCACCCACTGCCCACACATACACCGCATCCCCCCGCAATGTCTTTCCCTTCCACCACCTCTGTCACGTGTGTTTGTGGTTCCAGGAGCACCCAAGCGCGCCTCCAGCAAGGCATTCCGATTAGCAGCTGGACCGTCCCAACCAAATGCGCCTCCGACGGGCCTCGGGGGTGGCGAGGCTGGGAAGCAGCAGGTGCAGGCTGAATGCCACACAGCAGCAGGTGCAGGCTGAATGCCACACAGCAGCAGGTGCAGGCTGAATGCCACACACCAGCAGGTGCAGGCTGAATGCCACACACCAGCAGGTGCAGGCTGAATGCCACACACCAGCAGGTGCAGGCTGAATGCCACACAGCAGCAGGTGCAGGCTGAATGCCACACAGCAGCAGGTGCAGGCTGAATGCCACACACCAGCAGGTGCAGGCTGAATGCCACACACCAGCAGGTGCAGGCTGAATGCCACACACCAGCAGGTGCAGGCTGAATGCCACACACCAGCAGGTGCAGGCTGAATGCCACACACCAGCAGGTGCAGGCTGAATGCCACACAGCAGCAGGTGCAGGCTGAATGCCACACAGCAGCAGGTGCAGGCTGAATGCCACACAGCAGCAGGTGCAGGCTGAATGCCACACAGCAGCAGGTGCAGGCTGAATGCCACACACCAGCAGGTGCAGGCTGAATGCCACACACCAGCAGGTGCAGGCTGAATGCCACACAGCAGCAGGTGCAGGCTGAATGCCACACAGCAGCAGGTGCAGGCTGAATGCCACACACCAGCAGGTGCAGGCTGAATGCCACACAGCAGCAGGTGCAGGCTGAATGCCACACACCAGCAGGTGCAGGCTGAATGCCACACACCAGCAGGTGCAGGCTGAACGCCACAGCGTAGTTTGATGAAGCGATGGGCGTCTGGGCAAGGCAGCATGCACACACCAGGCTTTTCAGAAAGCACCTGATACCTCAACGGATGGCGCACCTGAGAGCATGGCTGATGGCACGGTGGTTGGGATGGCCCGATACACCCCAGGCGTCGAATGTGAGGAGCTGCACGGCAGATGGGATTCCCAAGGGACGAGTAGAGGGGAAAGAACAGAATAAAAGGGCCGGAAGGTTGCCCAGGCGTGCACAGAGAGCATCCGAGGGGCCGAGGGGAGGGTGGGAAGAGCGAGGTGTGCGCGCAGGGCAGAGAGTGGACGGACGGACGCACACCTCACATCCCATCCCCCATCCCTCCCCATACCCCATCCGTCACATCACATCCCATCATTGCGCCCACCGTTTTTATTTGGTGCCTTTTCACAAAGTCAGTGACGAAGCCGGCAATGACATCCGACGGCCAGGATTGGTCCATGCCATCCTGCAGATCAACGGTGACGAGAGACGGGGGAGTGAGTGTGCAGAAGAAGGGTTGGCGGATGACTCATGCTGCCGCGTGGATGAAAGGATGCGTGCTTTGCACTCCCGCCTGCCCAGTTTGCTTCTTTCCGCCTCACTCCCTTCCTCTCCTCACCCATGTCAACCCATCCCCTCACTGCCCTCAACCGCCCACCATCCTCACTCACCCCTCATTCACTCGCTCCTCACCACCCCTCACTCACCCCTCACTCGCCCCTCACTCACCCCTCACTCGTCCCTCACTCACCCCTCACTCACCCCTCACTCGCCCCTCACTCGCCCCTCACCGCCCTCACTCGCCCCTCACTCACCCCTCACCGCCCCTCACCGCACCTGCAGCTGCGGGTGGTCCACCACCTCCACGCACTGCTGGGCTATCTGAGCGCCGGAGAGAGGGGGGAGAGAGGGATAGGAAAAGGGAGGGGGGGAAGGGGAGGGGGGAGGTTTTGAGGTGACGAGGGTGCGGTGAGGAGAGTGACTGTAGAGGAGGAGAACAAAGGGGTGCGGGTGAGAACAGAGAAGAAGAGGGGTAGGATGATGGGGATGGGATGGGGTGGATGGAACGGGGAGAATTGGTTTGGGATGGAGTGGGTTGGGATGGAGTGGGTTGGGATGGAGTGGGTTGGGATGGGGAGTGACTGAGCCTCTCTCAAGCCGCTCTCTACCCCAAGCTACTCCCTACCTCGAGCTTGTCTCTTCCCCGAACCTCTCTCCCAGCCTAACTCTCCCCAACCCCGTCTCTACCCCGAGGCTCGCCGCTGCTGCCTTCAGCTCCGCCCTCCTCGTGCTGCCCAGCCCCTCCGCGTTGCCTGCTGGGGCCAGATGGTGAGGCGAGGGCGGAGAGAGAGGGGGGGAGACTGTTGAGACGCGGGAAACGAAGGGGATGCGAAGTTCCATTGCAACGAGGGGACGGGGATAACACAACAATTTGAGCGCCTGAACTACCTCAGCATTGCCCAGTAGGGCACAAGGCGAAGGGAGTGCAGGAGAGAATAAGGGGTGGCGCAGCTCAGAGGGGAGTCAACGGCAGAGAGGAAACGCACGGCGGGCCGTGGGGCACCTGAGGAGAGGCAGACCTGAGGAGAGGCAGACCTGAGGAAAGGCAGAGGATGTGCAGCGCGCAGCGGGCGCCGTGTTGTGTGGAGTCAGCTTGTGGCAGCGCAGCGGCCGAGACGAGGTGCCCCACCGCGGAGGGCCGCGCGACGAGCGCGCGCAGCGTGGGCACGAAGAACCTGCGCGTGGGGGGGGTTGGCGGACGGAAGGGGGAAGCACAGGAGAGAGCAAAAGAGAGGAGGGTAGCGGAGGAGAGGGGAGAAGAGGACGGAAGTGAAATGCGGAGGTGAGAATAAGGAGGGCGGATGGTGGGGCGAGAGGCAGGGTAGCAGCGCGCGGCTGTGGCCGCGGGAGCGGCGGATGATCACAGCAGGCGAGGAGGGCGGAGACGAGGCGAGGTTAGGAGAGGCGAGGCGGGGCGCAAGAGAGGCGTGCGAGGACTAAGAGGCGAGGAGCCGGAGAGGCGGGCAGGCGGGAGGGCGGGGAGGCGGTGAGGCGGGAGGTCAGGGAGGCGGGGAGGCGGGAAGCGGGGAGGAGGGGAGGCGGGGAGGCGGGGAGGCGGGAAGGCAGGGAGGCGGCGAGGCGGGGAGGCGGGGAGGCGGGGAGGCGGGGAGGCGGGAAGGCAGGGAGGCGGCGAGGCGGGGAGGCCGGGAGGCGGCGAGGCGGGGCGCACATGGACTCGTCGTCGGGGTGCGCGATCACGAGCCCCGCCGCCACCTCCTCGCCACTCGCCGCTCCGCCGCCTCCTTGCATCCCCGCATCCCGCGCTGTATCGCCGCTAGCCATGGCGGGTGAAGGAGTCGGCGCCGAAGGCTGCTCCACTGGTACGCTGAAGACCTCGTGGGAGGTACACACGCAGACCTTGAACGCGTTAGGAGGTACACGCGAAGGGTATAAAAAGAACTGACATTGTCTACCAACCAAAAGCTGATTGCTAGAGAAATGGATAGTACAATTCAATAACAACACGTACGTCACAATAAGTGTAAAACATTACCCTGTTTATACGGGTGGGAAATTGATGGTCACGTTTCTGGCACAGGGCTTTTTTTCTTCATCTTCTTGTTTTCTTCATAGGTTTCCATTGATTCGTCAATTCAACTATTGGAAAAAAAAATATAGTTTTACATTTCAAAAAATTACAAGTCATTAGCTACAGTAGCAAGTCACTAGTGAGTTACGCTTTGCTGCGATCAGAAGTTGATCGTACCCAAGATCACCTCGGGAAGGATCGCACACGATTGAGTAGTGGTGGTGGGCCCCTGACCTCAATTCAGAGTGAATGTAAAATGTTTGAGATGATAAAAACATGCAAATACGGGCACATAAATAAGAGTACAGGTGGAATACGAAGCGACCTAGACTAGCCATGTACTCTAAGGGGTACATTCCCTTATTGCAGCGAAATCCAACTGTGCGACTCCAAACGGTTACAAAACTGTTCGGGCAGAATCCTCGCCACTACTGCTGCTTGATGCTGTCTGCCCTGAGAGTCCAGATACTTTGTAACCGTACGTGACTAATCGCGTCACTCTGCCCCTTCGCATTCATCCTCGGCATTGTATGTTTCGCTTGCTGCGGTTAGGAGTGCACAGTGCCTTTTCTCATTTCACTATTCGTAACACCCCCCTTCACTCCTCACCGTAGCTGTTGTTGACCCGCTTGACTACTCCGCTGAATTCGGAGCAGTGCTGGTACTGCTGAAGTGACAGTCGCTTCGTGAGGAAATCAGCTGCCATGTCACCTGTCCTACAATAGGTCATGTCAACATGGCCTTTGTCCACTATGTCCTTGACGAAGAAGTACCGTAGCGCAATGTGTTTGGTGCGGTTGACGAACCCAGGTTTGTTCGCGATCCTGATCGCGCTCTGGTTGTCGCAGTGCAGGCGAAAGTTTAGGATTTAGGGTTTAAGGTTTTTTGGGAGAGGATTGAATTTTTGCCTCCTATAGGAGCTCCTGTAGGTAAAGTCCTTCGCGAACTGCTGCTGTCGCAGCGATGAACTCAGCTTCCACCGATGACAAGGCAACCAGTTCCTGCTTCTGCGAATTCCAGGAGATGGTTCCTGTCGGTTTGAGTCGAAATAGGAACCTAAATCCGGACCGTGGATTATCCGGGTCAGCGGCGTGATCGGCGTCCACGTAGCCGATGAGGTTGAAGGACGAGGTTGGGACTGTGGAGTAGCACAGTCCGACATGGGGCGTGGAGATGAAGAATTGCAGAGTGCGCTGAAGATCCAGAATATTTTTAGCCGTTGGTTTGCGTGAGTACTGAGCCAGCTGGCTCGCGATGTTCGAGAGATCTGGCCTGCTGTGACAAAGGCGAAGAGCAGGCAACCTAGTTGCTGCTGGTAAGTCAGCAGTCCAGCGGGAGACATGGCTTTGTTGTCACGCTTGTGGTTCGGTTCGGAAGTGCGGTAAGGGGTGGAGAGCGGTGCAGGCGCGATCTTGAAGCATTCGCCAAGTTCTTCTGCGTACTTAGCTGCTGAGAGATGAATGGCTTCTGGCGCGTAGGAGACGTTGAGGCCTAAGAACTACTTCACATCGTGGTTGTAGGTAATGTCGACGCGCCTCGCCAGGTTCCTTTCGAACTGTTCGAGCAGTTCGTTGCTCGATCCTGTGTAGAGCAGATCGTCGACTTAGACCGTGAGCCGCGGCGATACATCCCGGGATCGTGGGGCAGTTGCTTAAAGCCTATCTCAAGCAGGATGTTATGTAAATTCTGCTGCCAGAGCCTTGGCGCCTGCTTGATATCGTAGAGAGGCTTTCGTAGCTGGCATACGCGCGAATCCCCTTCGCCGTATGTGTACGGCTCCTCTGCGTAAATTACCGCATCTACTAACGTGTATAAGAATGCGTTTTTCACGTCGATTTTGCGCGACAGGTGCCTCGCGGCGGCGATGGCGAGCAAAATTCTGACGGAGGTGTGACGGCTGAATGGCGCAAACGTCTGGTCAAGGTCAATGCCGTGCCTCTTATCGTAGCCGCGCACAACCCAACGTGCCTTAAATCGCTCGATCGTGCAGTCCGCTACGGTCTTCACGCGGAGGACCCATTTGCCATAGAGAATCCTTTTCCCCTTGATTGCGACGCGATCGACGAGCACCCAAGTGTCGCGGGACTCGAGCACCTTGATCTCTGCGTCCATTGCCTCGCGCCATTCCTTGCTGTGTGGTCCTGTGAGCGCTTGGCCTGGGTTCTTGGGCTCGGTGACACGTGGCGCCGTTGAGGTGGCGGTGTGGAGCCCGAGAAGCTGCAGTCCCGAGACGGTGCTGTCGTGGCGATGTTGCGAAATTACTTCCTGCACGTCGTCGTCGTCGCTCTCCGGTTCAGGTGGTGCTGGCGGTGCTGCGTCTCTGCTACTTCCTCCTGCTCCGCCAACTCCTCCTCCAGGGGAGTCTTCGTCATCGTCATCGCTGCTGTGGCGATCGCCTCTTGTGAATTCGCCCCCGTTGTCTTGCTCGAGGATGGCTGCAGCGGCTTCGTCTTCGGTGTGACGTAGCTATGCCCGTCGTTGGCGTAGACGCGATTTGCGTTTGTCCGCTCGTCTTCATGGAATTGCTCGAGGAAAAGCCGCTCGTAGAAAATGACGTCGCACGCATTCGTGACCTTCGGGTTGATGAGGTCAAGGATGAGCCATGCCTTGTATTCGTGGCTGATGCCGAGGTGGATTCCCCAGCACGCATGGCTTGTGAATTTCCCGATAGTTGATGTTGGCGGGCGATACTGCACCATGCATCCCCAGACGTGGAGCATGGATGTGTCTCCCTTCGTGCCCGTCCACTTCAGGTGCGGGGATAGGTTGCCGGTGATGGCGGTGGTTGAAAGCAGGTTGTGCACAGCGTGGTGCATCCCGTAAGTCCAGTACGTCGACGAAAGCTTTGATTGCTTAAGTAGCGCTCGCACCTTTGTCATGAGTGTGCGGTTCGTGCGTTCAGCTACGCCTTGCTGCTAGTGCGCGTAGGGTAGGGAAATGTGATGCTCGATTCCCTTCTGCGCCAAGTAATCCTACAACTCCTTGCTCCTAAACTCCGCTGCGCCGTTTGTCTGACAGATTTTCAGCTTCTCCCCAGATTGCCGTTGCGCGTGCGCCAGCCAGAGACAAAAGGCCTCGTACGCCCTGCTTCGGAGTTCGACGTTGACTACCCACACGTAGCGGGTTCCAGCGTCAACGAATGTGAGTTTGTACTGCTCGACGTTGAGCCTGAAGTGGCCAACAATGAGGAAGTCACTGTACACCCTGTGCAGTTTTTGGTAGCGATTAGTTCCTGGCTCAAGCAGGGGGAATGGCTGGTGGCTTAGAGCAGCTTCGGGGCAGACGGTGCAATTGCGCGGCTGGGTCGTGCTTCTCACTTCAGTGCCATCAGGGCGCAGGAGTGCCCCAGGCGCAAATACGCACACCTCGATGCAATTCTTCAGTGTCACGCGCGAGGGGTGACAGAGGCGTTGGAGCCAAAGGTCATCGTTGGCGCGGAATCCAGAGGTGCGCATGTAGCGTGCGCGTGCTGCTTCGGGATCCTCGTCAGGTAATGTGGCAGCATCCGCTGTTGCCTCTTCAGTTTCTTCTTTGTCGTTCGCAATCGTCAGCATCAGTGCCAAGAATTCTCTGTCGAGAATCACGGAGAGAGAAATGTTGGCTCCGGGAATCGTTCCGGGGAAGAAGGTGGGTTCGCGCAGCTCGGGGTCAGGTCCGAAGGCTGTGCGACGTGGGGGCGATGGTTCGTTGCCCCAATCGATGGTGTCCTAGCGATCGCAGTGCGGCTGGACGTCAGGAGAAGGTACCGCGGGTGCAGGGAGGCGCGGGGGACGACCGAGGGGAACAACAGGAGGTTCTGTTTCACCTTCAGCTTCCCCCCTTTGTTCTTCGCGGGACGTTCCCCAGCTGCCGCCAGAAGTTTCCCATCCGCTGCCTTCGCCGCCAAATGCGGCGCCCCAGCCGCCGCCGGCGTCAGCCCAAGTGCCACCGGTGTTGCCCCATCCTCCGATGTCGCTCGTTCCCCATCCACCAGCACTTCCCCACCCCCCTTCATCTGAGGCTCTGTCTTCTTCCTGTGCGCCCCATGCGGCGCATGAGAATGTGCCGGGTGCCTCGGCGATGCTCTTTCGGCGAAGCTCCACTGCTTCGCGGCGCGCCAATTCTTCTTCCTGTTCCACGGTAAGCTTCTTCGTAGGGTCGCGCCAGTGGGGGTAAACCTTCAGGAACTCCTCCTTCGTGTAGGGGCGTGCCACTCCGCGGTCGTCGAAGGTGCCGCGGCGTCGTTCCCGTAGGATGCTTTCGGGCCGCTCAGCTGGTGTGCTGGGAAGTGCCTGTCCAGGCTCCGGATTCGGCGGGCCGAAGACTCGTTCTGTTTCCACTTCGAGCTCGAGTGCCGTCATGCCTTCTTCAGGTGGCACGTGTCGCTCAGCTTCAGTGATGGCGGCGAGGCCGCGGCCGGCAATTGCGATTGTTGAGACGTTGGGCGTGTGGCAGTCCCTGCAAATCCCGTCTGGATCGGGGTCATGTAGCGCCAGCTCACGTGGGTGCGGGTGATGTGGCACCCACGGTCTTCCGTCGGGGTGTTTCCAGTCAGAACGGTGGATGTGCTCGAAGCACAGTGGAACGAGATCAATTAGCTCGTTCGAGTTGCCGCTGCAGTCGGGAATGTCGAAGTCAAATATGGACACTCCATTTTCGGAGTGTGCGCGTCCGATCTGCCTGCGCGTTTTGTCGGTGATGAGTAGTGCAGAATTATATTACGTGTGCGCGGAACCGTGCTCAATTCGACACCGCAATCCATGAGTTGAGCGGC